GCAAAAGTGGATATGATGCGTATGTTTGCGAATTCAACACATGAACGAGAGGAGAGAGGAGGTAAGGAATGCCAGGTCGCTAAATAGAAATAACAAGGGGGCATTCAACACGCGGGAGAAGAGACTAAGGGCTTTCGGCCGCGGGTCAAGGAGGGGTCCGTAGTCTCTGGAGAGCATATCACGGAACGGCATGGTGTAAGCTTCTCTGTCTCCGCGTCTGCTGTCTCGCTCGCGCGTCGCACTAGCCCGGTTTCGGTGGCAAGCGGTGGCGGTAGGGACATGCAGCAAACTGCGCCAAACCTGGAATCCATCTATCCGCCCGTACAACAGTGGGGACCCGGCCAAGCCGCAAACCCATGTTTGGCGACATGCCCTGCACAGCGACCACAACAATCGCGTGGCACCACAGCTGCACCCCGGCTGTGCATACCGGCAACAGCGACCTGCCCCAAATGGTCATCACCATATTCCCTCCCGACACGACTAATGTTGTTGTTATCTTCGCATTAAAAAACGTTCCGATCTCTCTATCCTAGTCTTTAACACTTGACGCTGTCGATTCCCGTGGTAACAGGCTAGCTTATCTCAAAAATAGGCACAAACATTCACATAAATTTGACCCGAAGGGTAGGGCCGCTAAACCGGCCCACTCAACTAAAGAGAGAAGAAATGAACAACCACCGAAAACGCACCTGACCGTAGAACATCCGCGCAGCGCTGGGGGCCCCGGGAACTGCCGCCGCCACCTGAGGGGGGGGCGCGGGCAGGGGCGCGCTCCTGGAGAAGTAACGGCTGCGGCCGACGCTGATGCCGGTGAGTCGCGGATCGAAGTGGTTGCCGTAGAAGTCCAGGAAGCCAAGCAGGAGAGAGCCCGAGTCCATCTGGCTGGTCTGCTCTTGAAGATACCTTTTCGGTGTCGTCGTTTGATTGTTTTTCGTTCCGAGGTGATGGCAGCAGTCCGGCGGTTGTCGTGGGCGTCGCCGTCGTAAGGGTTGACCCAGACGAGGCGCAGAACACGGGGGGGGGGGGGGGGGGAGGGGGGGGGGCCCCCCCCCAACAGGGTATATTTTTTTCTTTGGCCGGAATGGGGGAGCCAATTTCGGCCCCCCTTTCAGAGGGGGGGGGGAAAACCCCCAAAATAAAAAAAAAAAAACCCTCCCCCAAATTAAAA